AAAATGAATCCCAGTCTAATTAGAGCAGTGACTCTGACCTGGGAGAGATGTGCGATGTTTTGGCACAGTTTCGGTGATTGGAATGACCGCTTGGCTCTTCTAACACTTATTCCGTTTATTGTTCTGAATGGGTTTTAACAAAATAGTGTCATCATAGAAAATTCTTTCTTTTTATTGTTTGTAACTTTGTTCATCTAATTTTCTCAATTGTTTGAAAGTACACTCAGTTCATTCTACATTGAAGAAGTCAATTTGTACAGTTGCAGGGTATTTTAATAGTGTAAATGTTTTGCAGCATATAAGTCAGGTGTCATAAGAGGATACTGACATTTTGAGATACAGCAATACCTACCATTCTATTGGCGACTGCCCTTGGGTGGCTTTGGATTGTTCTAATTACCTCCTTCAATAGGCACAAAGGTTTAGTAGAAACTGGATGCAAAGCATGGTTTACTAAAATCTGATATCGTGTAAAAGTGGGTACATTTTCTGGTATTGATAGTATTTGTTGGTTTTTAAATAATCTTGCAGCGGCTTCCTGCAGACCAAGGAGGAAATGCAGGACAGGTGTCTGGGTGGCTTTGGGGACAGAAAACGGAGGAAGCTCCCTGCAGACCAGATCAACACCCTGCATGCCTCAGAGTAAGAACCAGTTTGATTTTTGCTCAGTGGGATTAATCCGCATTTTCCTGGATGGCATGAAATTTAACATAGAGGAAAGATGTGCACTGCGTTATTCAACCTGACCTTTGGCGAGGGCTGTAGAAAATTGTTTAATGCTCATTTTCCTTTGATAAAACTGTTCATGTCAGCGTTGTTAAGATGCAAAGGCCTGATGTACTCAGCATGCCTGATGCTTAGAGTTGTGTTTTCTCTTCCGCCTGTTTCTGATTACAAAGTGCTTGAGATGAGTGTTGTCATCACTGATCATTTAAACGTGAATTTTGGCTTACATTAGCTCAGCTGTGTAAGCGCCTGACCTGCAAGCACAGGGTCACCAGTTCAATCTCCAGTAGCAAAGTTAAAATAAAATATTAATTTATCATAACCATTTATATAAAGTGCTAACATTTTAATTTCTAAAACCAATTTGTATAAAAAAAAGAGAAAAAAAAATAAGGATTCAAATGGCCTGATTAGTATTTAACACTTATTTATAGTAGTTGGCACAATTCTTAGTTGTAGTGAATATAATTGTTATTTAACTTAACAGAACCAAAATATTTTTATTAGTCATTTTTTGTAACTTCTTTTGAAATTTCTATGAAAACAAAATCTTATCCAAGTGTTTTACCACCCAAATTTTCTGTTTCTAGCATGAAACATCTAGATTCAGTAAGTCGTACATGACTAATACAAATATAAGTGTAATAGAAAAACTATTAAGTAAAAGTAGAGCCTTATTTTGTTCAATGTTGAGACTAAAATGTTAAGCTTAAGCTTTTGCTTGACAGTAATATTAGCTAGTGGTTTTGAAAATGTGTAATGCTGATTCTAAAATTCTAATAAGGTATCACATTTTAATACCATATGTATTATAGAAGGCTGATTTTGAACTGGTCCTGTGAATTTAAATAGTATAAAGAATTTTCCTGATTCTGTCAGGTAATCCTGTCTCTGCAAAGCCACCTTGTGTGGTTCTTCTGGACATGGCAGTGAACTGGCTAAACCTTTGCTGGTCACTGTTTGCCTTTCTGACTCATGGTGCTGCCTATTAATCAGAGTCAGGTGCTGAGTGTATAGTTTGAGAATATTTTTTTCCTCTTGGAACTCTATGTGTTACACTCAGTAGTGAAACCCAGACCTGAAAAGAATGTATGCTTGGTTTACTAGACAGACATAGACCTCCAAGAATGTTAGAAAACACTTGGACATGTGGAAAGGTCAGCCTGGAAGCAATGGGTGATGGGTGGTGTGGGCATGTCTATGTATTTTTGTGTCCACCTTTTAGGTTTAAAGCATCTTATTTATCATTGTATCTCTGGTGCTGACCTTTAGTAATATGTCCTGAGGTGACACTGAATTATCCATCAGACTATGGTTATGGCTTGTGTCTGGATGTCCCCCAAAGTCTCATGTGTTGTGAGGAGTGGGCTGTTTGGAGGCAGCTGAATACACAGTTTCTGACTGGCTCCGTGTCTGGTGCTGGGGTTGGGCTGTGCGAGCTTCGCCTGCCCTCCGACATGCAGCCTGCAGACAGGCTGAGGGAAGAAAAGAGCCTCGCTTCTCCCCTGTGCTCTTGTTGCTTTTGCTGTTTTTCCCTGCTCTGAGCAGATGTGGCCCCTGTGCCAAGTGCCACCCTGACTTGGAGCCTGCAGATTTTGGAGTGAAACCTCTACAAACTTTGAGCTAAAGGAACTTTTTTCTGCTTCATTTTGGCTTGTTGATATTTTGTCTCACCAACGAGATAACTATGTACAGCTTTCGTTTTTACCTTATTTGTCATTGGTGTATGTTTCCAATACTTGGCGGATCAGCTCGTGGTGTCACGTGTCTTGATCACTGTCACTCTTCCCTCCCTGACACCTGTTTCCTCGATGCTCTTCTCTTCTGCTTGAAGTTTGTCTTATTTTAGACTTAAACATATTTCTTATAAGAGAAAAGATCAATGTTGAATTTTTCATGTCTATCTTACTTCACTTAACATTATGGTCTCAAGTCCATCCACTTTCCTTTACGTGGCATGAATTCGTCCGGCTTTTGGGCTGAATACAAGCCCATCGTTATGGACACCAACTTCCCTCATCATTTGCCTATGGGGTGATCTGGACTCTTTCCAGAGCTTGGCTATTGGGAGATCTTTTCTGCAATCTCCACATTTTCATATGGACTACATGCAGGCCGATGCTATGACATATTCTTTAGTTTATATCACACATATACTGAAGTTTAGTTAACTATGTTGTGAAATTTTAAATACTTCTTTATTTAGACAATGATTTTAATTTTCTGAACTTTTATGGAGAGAGATAGTAGTAAAATCCAGGCATCAATGACATAAATTCCCCCTACATATAGTGAAAAGTTGTGACTTCATCTAAGAGGTGTAGAAGATTCTAAAACATTTTGCTTGCTCTCTAGGTGACTTCTTCAATGTCAGACCAGCCTGGTGTATGCAGCCTCTGTCTTTTTGGGAAAATCTGCTTCAGCACGTGGGGCCACAGAGCACTGAAATCAAATGAGATGCAGGACGAAGGCCTTTGCACTGCATGCTGAGGTCCTCCCTGTGGGTGCCTGTGTGTGTCCCAGGACCTTCTGTTACCTGGACAGTGAATGGAGGAGCTGCAGGACATCAGGGGTTACAGACTCCACTGCTTCCTCCTGCTAAGCAGGTACCACAATGGCAAGAGGGTGCCTGGTCCACAAGGGAGCGCAAACACACAGCACCTAAAAGACCAAGCCTAGGAGCTCCAGAAGCCCAGCTGCAAGGGGCCCAGCAGGGGTCCCCTCCTGTTAGCTGTGCTCTTGGCCCCTATAAAGTGTCCTGCCTAGTAGAAGCCACCATTATATCTGCTGGATGAGTGAATACAGGTCGGGGTTGCTAGATCTTCCTCATGTCCTGGAGAAGCTTGGATCCCTGTCATTTCAGTATTGGAATGAACTCTAATGCAGCTTCTGAGCACCATGTGGTCCAGGGTAAGCACATGTGCAGGCTGGTGCTGCTGGTGGGCCCAAGTGCAGGTGTTTGAAGCCTGCTCTGCTCTCCAGGAAACCCCTATGCCCAGAGCTCTGGTCCTGGGTCTCCCCTGAGTACCTGGTGGCCCTGCATCTCAGGCTATCACAGGCTCCACGAGTGCTGGCCTCCTCTCCCTGTCTGGGATGAATCTGGGCCTCTGTGGTTCTCCCTGAGGAGAACAGGTGTGGGGCTGTCCATTGGCTCCCAGTAAGTGTCTTGGGGTCTGCTCACTGCACCTCCTAATCGCTGTCCAAGAAACTGACACTGCCCCTGACCTCCCTATCTCCTCCCTGTGTTCCTGCAGCATCTGGAACTCTTTGGTGCACAGCCCACACCACAGATGAACATGCTGTTCCTTGATCTCATCATCTCCCACACCCCTTGCTGTCCCTCTGCATTGTCCACCCAGTCCCATGGCTATACCTGACCTTGTCATCGTGCAGAGTGACTCTGCATCTGGCAGGCTCCACTCAGACTTTCCTGCCCTGCAGCTGCAGGGTTCTTTCCTGCTGGTCACCCTGCATCCTCCTGATATGCCTGCCATCCAGCCCCAAGCCTGGTCCACACATGGCTGGTTCTTCCCCTTCCTCCCGCTTCTCCCTCCTGACCTACACACCTGCCTGGCCCTGTGTCTGGCTGGACTCTGTGTCTGGAATACACCTCTCCCCCTTTTCTTGGTCGGTTGCCACTTTTTCAGGTTGGGTTATATTTGGCCTCTCTGGAAGCCTAAGTGTCCCCCTTGGCTGCCCACACAGGGCCCCTTCTCTGTGCTCACAACCCCTGTGTCACCTGTCCTGTGATCTCTCCTAACAATTCTTCCTGTTCCATAAGTTCAAGGAAAGCCAATGTTAGGGGCTTCCTGGGCACCTGGTGAGGAGGAAGGCGCCCACCAGCCAGTGTTCAATAAGAACGCTCTCCCCTCCTTTGCTCTGAGCAGCCTTCAGCCCTCCAGCCCTGGGTGCTGGGTGCCTGCAGCCCTTCCTTCCCTCTCCCAGGCTAAGCTTCCACCATTGCTGAGACGCCTCCAGCTGTGCCCCTCATGGTGCCTCTCTGCCCTGAGTGCTCCCTGCTGGCGCTTGCGGGGTGCTTTTGTGGCATCTCAGTTCTTTCTGAGAATTACATAGAGGCTGGAAGCTCCCTGGACACAGGGTCTCTGCTGATCCACCTCTCACTCCTGGCTGTCAACCTAGAATTTTCTAGACCAATGAAATTGTAACAGAGCCTCTTAGTGGATGTGAGGAGTAGTTTCCCTTGAAGCTGGAACAAATCCCTACAAACTCAAAAGCTTAAAGTAACACCAAATTTATTCTCTTCAGTTGTGGAGATGGAGCTCAAGTCAGAGTGTCAGCAGCTGGGTTTCCTGGAAGCTCCAGGGAGAATCAGGTGTCACATCTTTTTCTGCCACTAGAGGGCGCGTGAAAACCATGACTCGGCCACTTTCCTTTACCGGTCAGACCTGTGCTTCGGTCCTGTCTGAGTCTGTATTCCTGTTGCCTTCTTATAAGGATCCTCCTGATCTCATGGGTCACCAGATAACTCTTGATCATCTCCACATCAGGATATGCATAAAGTCCTCCTTACCCCATAAGGTACATTCAGAGGCACCAGGGCTAGGTCCTGGCTATCTTGGTGGCTGTCATTCAGCCTTGTGTTTATGATGTCAGAAGCAACAAAGAAGCCAGCCTTCCTGGGTTGCTGCTGTTTTAACTGCTCTAGAAGAGCTGGTTGCATTCTTTCCTGTGGGATCAGGTCATGGGAGGGAGACTTCTACACCTGTGCAGTGTATAAATATCCCAGAACATTGGTCCTGATGAGGAGGCCCACAAAAACACAGATCACAGGGTCCACAAACCTGTTGGTGACAGCAAAGAAGTAGGTCAGCTGCAGGCCCAGGTCGGCGACCTCCTCCCAGAGCAGCCCTGGAAGGTGAAGAAGTGGTAGGGGCCAGCACAGCAGGAAGGCAACCACCAGCATGGAGATCAGCGCTGTGGGCCTGCTGCCCTGGGGACCTCCACACTAGCTCCTGCTCACCTCTTCCCAACAATGCATTGAGGCCAGAACGTGGTAGTTGGCAGCCAGCAGAGGAGAAAGCCGAGGACATTTAATTCCACCATCCTCGCCAAGTGCCAGTCATGGTGGGGAACAGCAGGATGAGGGCAGAGACATTCAGATCAGGGAGGGCTTTGATGGAGCCAGCAGGCATGTGGGGGTGCTCAAGAGGGCCCTGCCACCCAGATGAGCAGGCAGATGGCCTACGCATGCCACGGGTACCCCCAGCTGACCCTGGGTTGCACCAGCACCCTGTACGTGTGCTGGCTGATGGCCACCACCAGGAAAATGCTGATGAACAGGTGGGCCTTGATGGCCCCATTGATGACACTGCACAGGATGGCTCCGAAGGGCCAGTGGAATCTGCTCCACATGTTCTCTGCCCAGAAGCAGGCCCAAGACAGACATGAGGTCGGAGGCCCCCAAGTTGGCCAGGTAGATTTCTGCCACCTTCAGGCTCTGCTGGGACAGTAAGAGGAAGGACAGGACCAAGATGTTTCCCAAGAGGCCAAAGACACAGAAGGAGGTAAAAAATGTTGGTAAAACCCTGTACAGCACATCCCAGGCTTCAGGAGCATCACATGATGCGGTGTTGGGCTGGGCCCCTGACTTTCGTTGGACACCTGGAACTCCAGGAGGGTGTGGAACTCCGCTGTAGTGACAAGTGTGTAGGGTAACACAGGAGGTGGAACCTATGGCTCTGCTCAAGTCCAGCCTCTCCTGACCAATAAAGTTTTATTGCCACAGCCATGCCCATCAGGTACACACTGCCAAGGCCTGCTATTTCATGGTACACTGACAGTGTGTACATAGTATTTTCCAAGATAAAACACACAGGATGGCAGCTCCAGCTTGTGAAGATCCATGTCCCTGCAGGCAGAAGACACAGATGTGGCTGGGACCTGGGGAGAGAACTGTCACCAAGGGCTGTGCCAGCAAGGTGCTCAGGGTGGGCATGGTGGAGAGTTTCCAGAACAAGAATATTCTTTTGCTTGGCTTGAAATACTTCAATGCTGGAACAGCAACCAACCCTCATGCAGTAGGGGGTATTGTGCGCACCGTGCTGAGTGATTATCTGTTTGCATTTCATTGTTTAATCTTTTAGCAGCCCTGAGCTGGACAATGACCCACCCATATACTGGGCACTGAGACGCACATCTCACAGCTGGACAGTTGCAGAGCCTGGGTTCCAACTTAGGGGCCCAATGTTAGTTATACTTGCCTGTGGCATCCTGAGTGGATGATTAAGCCAAGCTCTGGGAAGTCACCTGAGTGTGAAAGGTCCCAGCTGGTGAGTGACAGTACCTGGTGTGACCCCCAATCTGCCCTGACCCCAGGCTATATTCACACAATGCTACACAATGACCCACATCATGCCTCCCTCATACACAGGGTTATAGCCACTGGTTTCCATGGAGATGAAGAGCTAGCACCCCTTCCTGAGGGTGACCATGCCTCCTGGCTTCTGAGACTCCTGAGGGACAGACATGACTGGGAGTGGGTGGCCACCAAGAGATGGGACCACAGCCAACTCAGGAAACCCAGGCATCAGGTGGGGCCACTGCTATGCAATTAGGTCACCAGATCTGGGTTCAGGGACAAGTTCCGAGATAAGGAGCCCTCACTGGAAGTTGCAATTGACCATATGGTGACATTTAACGGCAAAGCCTAGAAGCTGTCACCACAGGAGAGGGCAATCAGGAAAGGAGATTGGCTGCTGCTGGGCAAGAAACATGGGGAACAGATTGGGCGGAAGAGCCCACGCAGTTCTGACTGGAGCACAATAGGGGTCTGTGCGCTCTGTGGACAGTGGCTTTGTCCTTTGTGGGAGCTCACAAGTCTACAGCTCTGTTTCAGTGTCTGGAAGGACTTTCAAATTGTGTAAGAACTCTTCCCACGGTGATTGACTAAAAACCAGATGTTCAGCGAAAGCTTCTGGTTCTCAAGGAAGTTAAAGATACATGTGTAATTTGCACAAAGCCTCTGATCTCCAGACCTTTGGAGCTACAGGGAGGTGGGACTGGCAGCATAGTGTCTCCCTAAGGTGTCTGTGTCCTTTCCCAAGTCTAGGATGCCCGAATGGGATCGATGTCTTCACACAGATGCTTCTGAGAAGACAATCCTTGGGGTCAGAGAGAAATGTGACTCAGCTACCTTGCTGGCTTGAAGATGAAAGTGGGGACACAAGCTGAGGGCATTGGTGGCCTCAAGAAGCCGGGAAAGGCAAGAAGCAGCATCTCCCTGGAGCTCTCAGAAGGAACCAGACCCAGCAATGTCTGATGGTAACCCTGGCCCCGGGACATGTGCTGCTCAATGCACACAATGTGTGGTAATTCTTTAGAGCCCTGCAGGACTCTCTCAGCCGGACCAGGAACACAGGGACTTCAGATCCACCCCAGCCACTCCAGCAGGCACTGCAGCTGCCCCATCTGCAGGGCCCGAGTGTGGCCAGCATCTGTGTGACAGGGTTTTCTGGACCAGTTGCTGCCTGAGTTGGGAAAGTCAGCCAGAAACGGGAAACAGCATGATTTTCTCCACCACATTGTCCCTCTTCTCCTGAACCCCGATTCCACCAGGCAGGGGATGAGGACGGCATTTGAATGCAGACTCAGGGGTTAAGAAATGTACCGTGGTCCCCTGAGAGGATGTGACTTCCAAGCCAGGCTTCACCTGCACAGTCACTGCCTACAGAACCTTCTGAGCCATCCTGGAGGGACTGAGCTGGTGATTGTAAATGAGCTCTTGAAGGTTGTCATGGGTGAGCATCCCCTCAGGGTTCCGGGTTCTTAGTCAGTGCTGATGGGTTGATTGGCTGTGATAGAAAACAAGAATTTCCAAGTCCTTCCAAACAGTCTCCCTCTCTCCTTCCTGTCCTAAAAAACAATTTAAACCCACCCTGGGCATGGAATACAATGTGTTCCATTCTAAGTACAATTCTGCCCATTCAGCGTGTTCCCTCAGAGAAGGCAGGTTCTGCCAATGTACAGCTGTAAAGGAAGCTTTCTATTTATTTTTCCTTGAGATACAAGAGCTCCTTTTGTATCCCACTTTCCTGAGAGCCAGGAAACAGTCATTTACTTACTCAGAAGGAAATCAGAAGAGCTCCGGGCTCTAGCTGGGCTCTATACTGTGAGTGCTGTCTTCATGGCTTCCTGTGCTTCCCATTCTGTGGATACTGGGTTCATACCAAGGTCAAGGGGCTCCCCAGAAGGGACTCTTTCAAGACAGGGCAAGACATGGGTATTGGCAGGATCCACAGCCTCTTCTATGTCATTTGGGCATGGCAGAAGACTTTCAGCCCCTCTCTGCTGCGTGACCTCTGAAACCTGCCAGGCTGCCCTTCCAGCAGGCGCTATAACTTCCAACAGGCTCTGAGTCCCTATTTTGGCTTCCAGACTCCCCAACACCCACACAGCCTCAGCCTGCACTGAATGATGACTCCCCCACTCACAGTTGGCCCCTGAAAGCTGGGGCTTGGGAGACAGCTTGTGCGGAGCTAAACTCCACACTGCTCCTGCATTTTGGTCATGCAGGTGCCCAGCCAAGAAGCCAACCATGAGCACCCAGGGCCCCAACAGTGAGACCAGACCAAGTTTGACTCTCCCTACAGAGTGGGGACTTTCTTTACATTTCAGCCTTCTGTGACTGAGGCCTGAGTGGAACTAACTGTGCTACAAACTCTCCAGCAGTTTTCCCCAGTCGCTAGAGATCTAAAAATTGTGGAAGAGAAGAAGGAAGAAGAGGGCGGGGAGGAAGAGAGGGGAGGAGGAGGGAAAGCAAAGGAGGGGAGGAGGAGAGGAGCATGCTGGGGGAGGAGGAGGAGGAGGGGGAAGAGGAGGGGGAGGAGGGAGAGGAGGAGAAAGAAGGGGGACAAAGAGGAGGAGAGGGGGAGGAGCAGGAGGAGGACAAGTAGGAGGAGGGGAGAGGAGTCCCAGAGCAGGGGCTCCCAGTGACTCCTCTACAGGCTCCTGTAGCAGAAGCGCCTGCTGGACAGTTACCTTGGGCTGCCTGGGCCTGGCTAGGAAGACCAACTCCTGCAGGGGTGGTCTGCAGCCCCTCCCGCCTGCTCACCCAGGCCAAGCCCCGGGAAGCTCTGCCACCCACAAAGGCATCAGCTCACCTCCTGGCTTCCCCAGCAGGGGCTTGGCTCAAGGTTCCTCCTCTGCCAAAGAATCTTGAGGAGGAGCTCAGCTCGCAAAGGTCCAGTATCCCCTCTGCGAGGACAAGGGCAGTCCTGATCCTGTCTTCTGGCTCAGAACCAGCATTGGGATCCCTTATTTATGGGCTGAGTTCTGGGAGACCCCAAGGGCTGGGGAGTCAGGCATGCACACAACGCAACACCTGTGCTCATGGAGGCCTCAGGGCCTGGCTCACAAGACACTTGCCACCAGAGGTCTGGGAGCCTTCTGAGCTGTGCCGCATCAAGAAGGAGCCTCTGGCTGGTGCCTGGCTCCTGCCCTGACTCAGGATGCACAACACAGCCGCAGCGCACATTGCTGTGCAATGGGCGGTGCCACTGCTGCTTCTGGTTGGACTGCAAGCCTCAGTGGGAGATGGGGCTGACAGGCTTCCCCAGAGGTCAGCGTGGTGCCCATCTTGGGGCTCTGCCCGGGGCCAACACAGACTCCTGGGGTTCAGTGAAAGCCAAGAGGCCCATTCAGAAACACTGCCTCCTCCTCTCAGAGATGTGAGGTCCATTCCATGATCAGCCTCCAGGGTGAAATGCCATTCAGGACAAAGCCCTCCCTGAGAAGCCCACCCGCTGCTGTAAGCAGCAGGTGACAAGGTCCCTTGGAGCCTGGC